AATATTTTTTAATAAGAACTTGAATAAATTCTTTCAGCTCTTAAAAAAAATTTAAACTTCATGAATTTTCGCATCATCCTTGCACAAAGGGACATACTTGTCTTCTTTGTATCATTCCTATTTTTAGTCAATGAGTCAGTTAGTCTGTCTGTGGTGCTATGGATTAAGCCAAAGACCTAGAAAATGCTAGGCAAGTGTTCTACCACTGAGATCCATCCTATCCCAGTATGAATCCAATGTTATTAATTAAAGTTTAAGAGTAAAACAAACAGGCATGGTGCCTCATGGCCTGTAATCCTAACAGTCTAGGAAGCTGAGGTAGGAGGATCACAGGTTAAAGCATAGCCTCGACAACTTAGTGATATAGCAATACTCTGTCTCAACAAAAAAATAAAAATAGTGAAATGTGAATATGTTTTCGTTTATTTAAAAATTTCTGGTGAACTTAAATGACAATTTTAAAGGGGCTGGTGATATAAAAACTTACTAATCATGGATTTTTCTTTAAGGATCTATTTCAAAAGAAATGAAGATACTATCTTACTGAAAAAGTTTATATATAGTGAATCCTTTTTGTTTTTTGGTACCAGGAATTGAGCTCAGGACCCAGGCAGGCCCTTCTGCCACTGAGCTATATCCCTGTCTGTATATTTAGTGAAATATTTGAAAATGCAGCTTAAATTTATTCTGATATTCCTGTGTTTATAAGACTATAACTTAGCTCATGCCTTTTACATCCACTTTGAGATTTCCCAGTGGGGGAAAGGGTGTGATCATTCTAAATAATATTTATCATTTATCGTGTGACTATAGTAAAATCACTTATTGAGTATGAGTGTGCATAGGAAAGCACATAATTATGTAAGGGGATTTTTATCACAATGTTAAATCAAGAAATTGGGGCTTCATATATAAAATGGGTTGTCAGAGATCATTTACCTATTAAGTGGTGGAGCTATTTTTGAATTATGTATAGATTTGAGCTGTATTCTGCATTGCAGTATATTGCTTTCTGTACTAAAAATAAGGAAAAGTCCTTTTTTCCTTCTACAGAAGGTAAAGTGTATTACTCTGAGGCTGAGTTTTTGTTGGTGCCTCTTGTAGGCCATGATGTGGTGGATACTAGAAGTAGAAGTGTGACTGGGAATATGATTTTTTCTCATATGCGCTCGTAGTCTAGTGGTAGAGGCAGATAAAGAATAAAGCAATACATAGTCATAAATTTTGGTGTTATAGGGAAAGAAATTGTTAAAAGAGAACCATGGGGACTCTTTATTAATAAGATGATCAGCCAGGTTTTCTCTAGAGGGCTAAAATATTAGTCGAGACTGATGGACAACAGGCAGCCAACAACTAGGTAGACAGAAGAGCATGTGCAAAGGCCCTGAGCCTGTTCAATTTGTTTTTATCTTCAATATTCCACGAAAGGCTCATATTAAGGTTACTGCTAGCTTTCTTGTGCTGAATCCAATTTTTCAAACTTCTATTTGACTGTTTTTGATAGTATGTGAATTGTTGATTACCATTCTTCAAATACTTTGTCTTTTCTCATTGCTCAAAGTACCTGACACCCAAAGGAAGTGAGGTTTATTATATCTCACAGAGGCTTAATTTCATAGTTGGTTGGCTGCAAGGCAGGGTGGCATCGCAGAGTGGCATCACAGAGCAGGCAGACAGAAGGCAGCAAAGAACAAGCAACAGCAGCAGCCCTCTTTCTGTCTGTTATATTTTATCCAGGCTACCTACCATTAAGGTGGGTTACACACGTTTAATTCTAGCACCATAGCACATCCCTTATCCCAGCATCACATGCCCTAGATGCAGGCACTGCAGTAAAGCCCCACCTATGAGCACAGGACCCTTTGGGCAGACATCTAGACACAGCCATAATACTGTCACTCTCTGGCTTCAGTGACGTCTTAATTATATGCTTTCTACCTCTGTGTGTGTCCTCTATGCAGTAGTGCTTCAAGTCTTCATCATTAAGCTCTCTCCTTCCCTATATCCCCTCTCCAGGAAAAATCTCATTCTTTTGGACTTGTATTTCTGTGATCTTAATTTTATTTTATTTATGCTTATTTTTATTTACATTTTAAAATTTTATGTATTTTGGTACAGGGTCTCACTATGCAGCTTGGACTCATAGTGATCCTCTTGTTCTTAGCCTCCTCAGTCCTGGGATTGCAGGGTTGTGCCACCATGTCCTGACTCTGGCTGGCTCAGTGTGACCAGGGGCAGAGCTGGCACAGCATACATGTGTTCTTGATTTTAGACTTTAATTTTGTACCTTGATCTCTGTTATCTCAGCCAAACTAAAACCAAACCAAACCAAACCAAAAACCCAAACAAATGAAACCAAATCATCACACAAACCAAATAAAACTCTCTCAAACACAACATGACACAAACTAAACTTTCATCTTTTCAGGCTTCTTTATGCCTATGTCCTGTTGGGGAAACAAAAAGTGTAGGGATTTAGCTTCATCCCTACTCTTTCTTTTCTTTGATTTATCCTTTATAATTCATAAATAAGTACTTGGAATTTAATCTCTTTGCTTAGTCATTGCTTCCTTAGTTAGGTCTTTTATTAAACTGCATTTACTTTTCTGTTAGGTTCTAATAGGCTTTCTCCCAGTAATGTAGGTATGGTGACTGAATAAAGGCCACCCAAATGTGTCTGGTTCCTAATCTCAGAGTCCTTTGATTATTACCTTATCCCAGTGATGGTGCATCTTTTAGAGCTTTCAGTGATAAAAGCCAGTGTGGAATGCCATAGGTTCACCACCACTGCCTTATACTATAGCTTAGGGTCGCACATGTGACTGAGTTAAGGATATGGAGATAAGGAGACTGTCTTGGATTATCTCATGGTCTGAAGTGGTCACAAGGGTCCTTCTAGAAAGTAGGCAGGAGGAAAGAGTAGTAGGAGGAAGGATGAAGACCGAAATAAGTCATCCTAGTGATATGCGGAAGGAGCCAGGAGCCGAGTGGTACTGGGCCTTTAGAAGCTGAAATGAAGCAAGGACGTGGGTTCTCTCCTAATGCCTCCAGGGGAAGCAGCCTTGATTTAGGGCCATCGGACTCATTTCTGACTTCCCTTGTTTAGAACTGTAACTTTATGTTGCTTTAGTCCACTTAGTTTGTGTTAATTTGTTACAATAGTAGTAGGAAATAAATTCAAAAGCAATAGCTAGATATCAGAAAAGTCTACTCAAATTTCAACCATACAGACACATTTAAGGGGAAATTGATGTGACTGTCTTAGTATATGTATAAAAAAATCTCAATATGAAATCCCATTTAAGAAAAACTAATTTGTTTGAAAATCTTGGGTGCCGGGGAGATGACTTCGTAGAATAAACATATCCGTGGCAAGGGCCTGAGTTCAGTCCCGGGTTCTGAAAAAAAAAAAAAAAAAAAAAA